AGAGGTCTGTGCGCCGCGGGGAGGGCCTCAGGGCGCGTCGGGCGCGACCGGGGGGGGGGGGGGGGGGGAGGTTTCCCCCCCAGTGGCGCTTCCAATTTTGAGCCCCCCCCCAAAAAGGGTGGAGGCCTGGGGTGGGGGTGGGGGGCTTTTGCTTGGAAGATTTGGGCGGGGAAACTGGGGGCACCGAGCGCCCCCCCCCCCATATTGGCTGGGTTTCCCGGGATTCTTCCGCGGCGGATTCGGCGCGGACGGCGTGGGCCAACGGTGGGGCCCCCGGATGGCAAGGAAAAAAGGCCCAAACCTGGTCAAAAATCTCCCCCGGCAGGGCAAAAACCAATGCCGCGTCCGGCGTCCTGGCTTGGCACCCCCCGGCGGAAAGCCCCTGCGTCGGAAAAAAACATCCCATTTTTCTGTGGGGCGGGTCGTCCACGCGCACAAATCCCCCGTCTGCGTGAAAGCGCTCGTCGGTGTAGTAAGGATCGTCGTCCGAAATGGCAGACGCGTCGAGATGCAGGCCGCTGAAGGCGGAGCGGTAGACCGGCTCCTCCTCATACTCCTCAAAGGAGGTCGACCCCCGCTCCAGAGAGAGCCGGGAGGGATCGATCGAGGCGGAGCGGTAGACCGGCTCTGCCCATTCCTGTGACCTCTGGTGGCAGAGCGGTGGTGGCGCCAGGTCGAGCTCCGTCAAGCGAGCCTCAAGGTCATCGGCATCAGGAGAGGACCTTGAGGCAAGCATCCTTCTGTGGCGTCAGTCGGCGCGCATGCACTCGTCATGTCAACCTCGAGCAGCAGCGTCCAGGTCCAGGACGCGGCGGAAGAAGGTCAGACGCGCGCTTTTCTTTATTTTTTGCTAAAGCACCTCAACTCGTCCTGTGCCGCGTTTGTGCCGCGTCCTGGACCCCGGTTGATTTTTTCTTTGAGGCTCACCTCGAACGCATGCCTAGACCGGAAACTCGAGCGAGCCCAAGCAGGCGCCGGGACGCTCCTCTCCACCGTGATGCTCCTCGCCATCATCGTTAGGGTGCCCACAGGGCCCAAAAAAGAAAGGAAAAAAGAAATGGGCACCCCCGATCGCAGCACTTCGTGTTGGCCAGTCGAGAAATTGAGAGTGTGACTAGGAGGGTGGGACGCTGGGGATTCTCAAAGGTATACCCTTGGAATGGCCGTACCGCCCGCCAGCCGGCGCAGCAGCGGCCAGCGCAGCGGCCGCCGGCGCAGCAGCCAGATCAGCCGGTGCGCGCCTTGCGAGGCGAGTACTGCCGCCCGGCAGCCTTGAGGCGGCCGGGCGGCAGTACTCGTCGGAATGTTGCGAGCCGTGCGCGCGCCGAGGCGCGCGCGGCGCGCGCCCGCCCGGCTGCCAGTAGGAGGCGGCGCAATATGGCCTATAGTACAGCCCTTGAGGAGGAGGAAGACGCTGGCTGGCAGTGCTGTATGCCGCCGAGGGGCAGTTTTGGGGTACTGTCACGGGCCCAGGGGGCTGCAGAAGGCGTCCGCAGCCGGGACAACCCGTCCCCCCAGCCGAGGCCGGTCGAAGCCCACTTGGAGGCAGCCATGAGGAGTCCTCTTGGTGCTCCTGGCGCCCGTTGGAATGGCGAGCGCGCGCCGAGGGGGGGGGGGGGGGGTCTTGCTTGGTCCAAACCGAGCGCCATCGGTCCG